ATACGCGCCACTTAGCACCAGCGCCGAGAGTGATTTTCATATCCGGACACCGAACAACCTTTTACGGAAGTTGACACCAAATTTGGTAAAAACAGGTCTCGTGACAAGGTGCTGCCAAGGTGCGTCCTCTGGCGCCACCGCAATAAACAAATGTCCATTTCGTAATCAGGGCACAGAATTACATCTATCGACAAATTTACGGTAGTTTTTAAGGTGTGTACAATTACACTGTACGAGAGGAGGTGTTTTTGATATCGGCGCAGGATTATCTACCGAAAATTAGGGTAATATTGCAGCGCGCCTTCAGCTCGCGCGGACACTTTGTATTTTGTCATTCATTCCGACGCATTGCTTTAATAAAAACAGGCACAAATGGAGTCGGTAGTTTGGGATTAGACTCACTTCCCATGCTCTGTACCGACTGACGGTAGATCCTGAGATCAGTGGTGATACGACTCACATTGGCTTCCTACCAGGGTCAACCGTCACGTTCAAACATTTTCAGGATTTTTGCGACCCCCTAGCTCTCGAGGGGGTCCAGTTGCGAACACCCCCTTTTTGTTAATAAGTGTGCTAGACATGAATCCGTTGCGCCAGAAAGCGTCTGCGCGTCGTCGCGTCGGCCTTGGAGCGCGGCAGGTATCACCCGGGCACTGGAAGAATGGGACGCGGCGAAGAAAAATTTTTAGAGGGGAATAACTTTCTTGGGGCGTACTTTTTTGACTTGTTGTGATAGATTTTGATTGTGCCTGGGGTGCGCTTTCAGAAAACTACAAGGGTTGCCTAACTCTCCGGAATGTACCTCTGTTAGAAGTGGAAAACCCAAAATTCTAAGTAGGCGCACCTTCAACTTTGAAGGCCCATAAAATCTTTCGTATGCGACATTTTGGGAATCAGTAAAAAGTTTCAGAAACTTCAAATATTTCTCTAACAAAATTGTATAAAAACTTTAGTAATTGTCTCTTTTTTCAAAAAATTGTCCCGTTCGAACATTTTTCGTGCAAAAGCGAGTTCTTGGGCTTTCAGCGACCATAACTCACTTCATTTTCATTTCTGTGATGCACTTTTTTCATGGGGTGAAAGCCCAGGACTTGCTCTTTCTGGCAAGCACCGAACGGTTTTTCAAAATCCATTTTCCGAGAAAATCGCACGTTCGTACATTTTGTCAGCATAGGTTTTCGAGCAGCACATGCGAGTTTTTGAGCTTTCAGCAATGATAACTTCCTTCAAAGAGCTTCTTGGGGAGGGACGGAGACATTTCTAAAGACTGCGAGATTTCTGCTTTCTTATATGTTTTACCGTTGTCTGGAAGAATCATCCTCAGAAAATTAGGTCCCGAAGAACTTTATTTCAGCCCCGAGAAATCGAACCTTTCATAGGGATGCATTCAGCTGTTCTCTACTCCTCACGGAAAACACCGTAATTTGCCTGAAACTCTCTCTCTCTGTGCATAATTAATCGAATCTAATGCGGTCTGCACAAACAATTCTTGCCCTCGGGTACGCCACGCACGCGCCTGTGGCTGGCAGTCCTCAAAATAGCGACCCCCTTCCGACCAAAATGCGACCCCTTCGCTCAAACAGTTCGAGCGGACAGTTGACCCTGCTTCCTACCAGAGTCAACCCTGCGTTGCGCAGTTCGCAACGGCACATTGAGAGATCCTCAACGCACGCTGGATGGGCGGAGGCACAGACGGCTCGAGCATGCGAATGTGAATGTTCGCGCGAGAGAACGTGTCTAATTGGGCAAAACTGCGCAACGTGGCCGTTGAAAACTGCGCAACGCAGGGTTGACTCTGCCTCCTACCACTCTCCGCAACCCAGAGGTGTGTACTCGAGCATGTGCTGCAGCGAAGGTATCCGAAGAGTAGAAGAGGGAATGCCGAGTCGATCTGCGGATTCGCAACCTTGGAGACATTGTCTGTTTTGAATGGCTTTTCGATAAAGAGTCGACTAGGTCAAATTTTCACAGCGGTCGTTGGGATACGATGTACCAAACAACTGAGAGAGTTTCTTGTATAGCTTCTAAGGTTTCCGAAGATAGCCGTGGCTTACTCGAGCATGTGCTGCAGCGAAGGTATCCGAACAGTAGAAGAGGGATTGCCGAGTCGATCTGCGGATTCGCAACCTCGGAGACATTGTCTGTTCTGGATGGCTTTTCGATAAAGAGTCGACTAGGTCAAATTTTCACAGGGTCGTTGGGATACGATGTACCAAACAACTCAGAGAGTTTCTTGTATAGCTTCTGAGGTTTCCGAAGGTAGCCGTGGCTTAATGCTCTAAAGCGTTTGAAGCGGCGTTCTGTACTTTCTAGCCACCTGCACCATCATATGGCGCACGTTTCACACGAATGGTTCTATCCGATTTATTTGGCATCCTGTAATGCTTTTAAATTGTTTCTTCCCATTTTCGGAGTCGGAGAGCAGTACGCTTCATACTGATGAGACTGCTGATACAGTGCGTTTCAAAAGTATAAAGCCACCCATGAAAACTAACTTTCCGAGTTAAGGTGAGTATTTCATGGCTTGCCATAAACTTTATTGAATCCAGCGTGTTTGAAAACCATTGTTCTCTTTATTTCAGGAAGCAAAACGATTCACATACATTTTTATGAGAAGATTTCCAAATATCCCCTGTTTCAGAAGTATAAAGCCACTTGCAACATAACTCTATTTTTCCAGAGAAAAAGTGAACATCATAAATATTAGTAACTAGCGTGACTTCCTTTTTTAGAAGTGAGATTTGATAGACCATTTGGCATACTATCCGTGAGCTTCAGAAGTATAGCGGGATTCAGGTGGTAGGAAAACGTCTCGATGGCTGTCTGAGGTCTCTCACGTTACTGTACTGCTTTCCATACGCGTATATCTGTCGGACAATGATACCCGAGGTGTTTTTTATGGATTTGTATATCAGGTTGCTGAACAGGCCATTCCAGTATCACTGATTTTGTTGGCGACGTAAAACCCGTGTTGAAGTTGGACCGGGCTGCGATGGGATGGGTGGGCCGTAATAGTGGCCCACAAAGATGGGAAGTTGTTTGCCGACCGACTTCCACACAGCAAAACGAGAGAAGACATTTAAGAAAGACGCATCTCTGATTCGTACTGCGGCCGTCCATTCGGGCACGCGAGACGGAAGACGGCTAGGAGGGCGACAGCATCGCTGTTAGACAGTGCAGCTCAGGACCATCGCTATAGTCGCCCATCCGACTCTAGGTCTCTCGGCCTACACTCATCACGAGCGGCGCCATCTTTGCTAAAAGATCCGCGTCATAAGCTGTGTGGATGACCATCCGGCCGTCTAAGTTGAGGTCTTTACAAACCACAGAAGATGAATCTGAACACTACAACGCAGTAACTCAAACGTCCCTGTCGAAAGCTCGGCCTCCGTCCTAACCCACGTAGGAATCATCCTAGCCCGAATCCACTCTTCGCAGCTGTTCCTCCGGGCGTGTAGTGTCTCGTGGACGAGGTGCATTTGTGATTGCTGCCTGCGGATCGTGGAGTCTTCATCCCAGATTTGTCGCACGATTATTTGCGAGCCAGAGTTAGCGACCCCCTCCAGATGGAACTTTTCGAAGCCCAAACAAGTGGAGCCTCGTTACATCCGATCTGACGGATGGTCGCAAGTACGAATTGGAAAGGGATTCGCTTTAATATGGCCGGATATGAATAACTCAGCAGAAACACGTGACCTCTTCAGAGGATCTTTCCTTTCATGATAAGCTGATTTGCCTCAAAGAGAATGTCGATACAGCTTTCGGGAGGGGAACGTCCAAGGGTTGGGCGCAATGGAGGCGATTTGGAATGGGCAAGCTTGCGATGACGTCCATCGCACGAAAACTGGGCTCTGCCAAGAAAACGTAGATCACGCGCAGATCATATTGAAGAGCTCGTTAATGTGTTTTGGGAAGTAATTATTGGCCAAAGAAACTCAAACGAGTTAACAGGAACAAAAATTTTTACCGCTGTTGCCTACTCGCCCGGGGTGGCTTTATACTTTTGAAACAGGGAAGTTTTTCAAATTTTCTTATGGAACCGTTTCTAGCTTATAGTGGTTTGTACTACAAAGTTTACTATAGTTTCAGAGCATGCTGAATTCGATAAACTATTCATCAAATCACGGAACCTTCATTCTAACTTGGAACAGCTTCATTCAAGGGTGGCTTTATACTTTTGAAACGCACTGTAGTTTGAAGGAAGTATTCACGATAAATCCCAGGAAACGATGAATGGGTAGTGGACAACAACATGTGACGTTTCAATGGCAGTGGCACCTTATTGCCGGCGTGATAAGGCGTCGAAACTTACTCCCGAGTAATAAATGCACCTACAGTAGCGGTCAAAAGTGTTCGCCGAAACGATTTTTAATGCACTATTTTTTCGCTTGAGCAACGCTCTTCAAAGATTTATTTACTATGTTTTCTGATATTTTATATCCTCAATTTTTAAAGAATTAGAATTTTTAGAAGAAAAATTTTTTGAGGCCACCATTAATTTTTCTGGCAAAAATAGGGAAGCACGGAAAACGGTTCTGGCGAACACTTTTGACCGTTACTGTACGTGTTGATGTGGAAGGGGTTACAGTGAGGGCGTACTGAATATGATATGCTATCGTTTCCGCCCGATTTTCATTATAAAGGGCAGCTCATTCTGAGCGGCCGTACCTTTATTATCATATGATGTCGTACCTTCCATCGGGTTCGCTTGCCCATTCATTATCTATCTCAGATCTCATCGGTTGATAACATGTGGGTAGCACCCCCCCCCCCCCAGCGTGATCGCCTCCTTTGATGCTAAATCGTTAAAAAACATGAAAAAGATGCGCAGATGCTTACACAATGGTCTCTAATGTGTTAATGGTGCACGAACCGTGGCATGAACAGATAAACATAAAAAAAACGCAAGAATCTCAGAAAAAACGGTTTAGTTGAACAGTGGTCATGGCCACGAACTTGCAAGATTTGTTGAGAAGCCACTGAGAATGCTGAATTTCAGACCATATCTATGGGCGCAGTCGCTTTATGTGATATGTTGCTTGCTTTACGAAGGATTCCTGAGCCCTGCCGAACTAGACCCTCTCAGCAGACGATTGTCATCTCATGAAAAACGGCCGCCATGTGAAGTTCAAGGTAGGGTTATATTTGAGTTTTTCCCGTAGTCTGTTCGTGTGTCAAGACTTGCTCTTTATCGGCAGTACGTATGTACTTTCATCGGTGCCCGCAAGAGATCACACTTTCTTGACGCGGCCTTTTCTCACCCAACGTTAGGTGTCATTTTTCAAGCAACAGTTTTCCATCAAATTTTCGAAATTAGTAGTGATCTGATGGCGTGAAGAAACACCCGAGTCTTCTCAGGCCAAGGCCAGGGAAATCGGGGACGGTGTCAAATTCTACTACAGTGTGGTCGCAGCGGTAGTAGTCGTTCAAGGAATATGTCTTCGCTGTGAACCGGATCAGCGATCGGATCATAGCCATGAGACCAGACGCGAAGGAGGGGTACTAGACAGCACTGCCCGTGTACCCATCACAAGCCGGATGTCTCGAATATGAGAAGGGCTTCTCTATCTGAGCCGAGACGATACCATGAGATTGATTCTGGAAGGCAACCTTTGACAGGTGATCTGAATGGCCAAGTCGGCAGTGGCGGAAGAGCCTTGGAAAGAGTGCACGGAGGAAGAGGGGTAGGGGTAAGGAGAGAGAGAGTGAGTATCGTACCTGGCCACAGCCTACGATCTGGTGGTCTGCAGCACGTTCTTTGCAGAAAGGAAACCAGAATGTAATCTACAGCAGTGGAGAGAAACAAACGGAAGTCGACTATGTGCTCGTAAGATCATACCTAAGTACTGTAAAGGAATGCAGGTACTCACTGCCATATATCTCTCCAAGAAGACAGAAGGTTGGAACCTAGAGGAGAATTCGATTTCGGATTCTGCACCAAGCGGAGATGGGCTCCTCCGAACGCAGAATAATTTAATTTTGTCTCCTATATCCTAGCGGGCCAACAAGCGGACCTGGAGCAACACAGCTGAGGCCCTGCTACGATGCGCCAAAGGGGTGCTATGTGAGACGCGAGGTAGAATGAGGATGGTTAAGGCAACGTGGTTCTGGAACGAGGAAGTCCAGCGACAAGTGAAGCAGAAGAAGGAGGCATAGAAGTGCTGGCGAAAGACACGGTTTCCTAAGCACCTAGCTGCTTACAAGAGTTGCAAGAGGCTTGCCAATGCAGCCGTCGTCAAGGCCAGGAATACGGAAGTGGACGCGTTCCACCAACAGCTGGGAGGGGGGGGGGCGGAATGCGGAGAAATTCCTCGACAGATTACCTAAATCCTGGCACGGAGCTCATCAAGATACCAGGGTGGTGAAGAATGTAAAGACACCATCCTAGGAAGCCAGCCGAAGTCAAGGAGAGCAGGGAGGAGCAGGGTAAATATCGGTCGAGGAATCCTCGACAGGGGGTTGTACTTGTCAGGCTGGGTCATGAGAATCGTACTCGTGGAGGGTCAGTAACATCAGTGACATCGTAGTGCAGGTAGGAATAAGGGGGTGTGGTTGGGGTTGTGTTTCGCTCCATTCCTCTGCCTCAATAAGTAGGACGTATTTGAAAGCAGCGCAAAGAATGGAAGTGCATCCCTGCAAGGAACACGGCCACATGTGCACACGTGCTGCAAAGGCACCTCCTCTATCTACCGCCCGCTCCTTCTCCCTTGAAGGAAGTGGTCACGATATTTTCATGAGAACGATAAGGGAAGTTATGTATTGGAGTGGATAGAGGTCCTGCCCAGTGTTACAACACTTGAAGTTCCAGTGGCAGTGGCGCCTTATCAACGGAGTGATAAGGCGCCGAAATCCACTTCCGTTCAGCAAAAACTAAGACTTATCGATGTGGAAAGGGGTGCGATAAGAGCGTGCTAGATATGATACCGTTATCGCCATCGTACCATTTTCATTCTGGAGTGCACCTCTTATCAAGTAGCTGCACCTTCATATCTCATCGTATCATATCTTCCGTGAGCTTACACTCGTCCAACAATTACTGCCTCACACCTTATCGATTGATAACGCGAGGGTAGCAAATCCAGTGTGGAAGCCAGCGTGATCGCTTCCTTTGATACTCGTTGAGAATGACACTTGTGAGGGACGCTTTGGCTGAAACAACCGTGAAGGAAAGGCTCTGGGCAAATGAAGCCGTTCCTCAGGATAGAGGAGTTACGAAATGTGTTTACTACAATGCAGCTTCTGTCAACTGGTCATGATCATATTACAGCTTTCAGTCGATTCTGCAGCTTCGAATGAAGGTCGGATGCATCTGTACCCAGAAATAATCGGATGATGACAATTGCTCCTTTTCTCATTGCTTATGTTGGAAGAATAAATTCTAGAAAATTTCGAGCGTTGCCAACGAATTGCACTTGCAATGGTGCAGAAGGCAGTGGGTTTTTCAGCGGCCGAGAATCATCCTTGATAGACCCTCGACGCAAATATCTCCTCTAGAGAACGTAGAAAGAAGCTGATCACAGTGTTAGAAAGCGCGAACCTTCCGCTCCCCAAAACTACCTTCGTTTTCCAAGATCTTGCAAAAATAGGAAGATATTGCCTCTTAATTGGCAAAAATTCGTCAGTTTCAAATTTCAGCGTCCTTGACGCTGCCTCAAGGGATTTTGAGACTATCTCTTTGAATGGAAGGCTTTCATAGCAATTCCAGTACTGCCGGTTAGTAGCATCCAGATCTATCTAACCCTGTCGCGTTCTGATCAAAAGGTTATGAAATGGAGGAATGGAACCTTTTCATCGAGGTGTAGATCACGTCCTCGACACGATTTTCACTCTGGAGAGGAGTACTATAGTGTACTTCTGAACAAAGGGCTCCTCAAGAAGGACACTGAACAAGCAGAGGTAACGTCTGGCCCCATCTCGCCAGAGAGATGAATTCAGTCGAAAAATAAGAGAGATGAAGGACGAGGCGGCGGTTTGTCCAGTTACGGTGCCAATCATGTCATGGAAGGCGCTCGTCTTGTACAGTGTTAGGTGACTCACCCGATTCCTCGGCAGCGTAAGTGCGGAAGGAAGGATGCTGGACGCCTGGAGAATATGAACTATCTTCCCTATCTTCAAACAGAGGGGTGACGCTATGATCTACCGATCTCCCTCAAATCTCAAGAACGAATGCCATCTTTATCACTAAACAGATGGAGCAGTATCGTGAAAAGCGCCGACCCTGCCATGTAGCCTTCCTCGACGGGTTGCACCAAGTATCATCTCTGAGCCTGTTCCTCTCCCTCCTAACTGTAGATGCATGATGGAGGGGCTCATGGCCACTAAAGATCGTCCTCTACGCTAAAGACATAGCCCCGATAGCGGATAGCAAGGGCGAACTCCAAAACCAAAGTGCGCATATGGCGGAAAATAAGACAGAGTGGGTTCTGGCTGGATTTCAAGGAGACCAAGTTTCTGACTCCTAAATAGGGAACAGAGAGTAGTAATAATCGACAACCTTGCAAAAAAAAGTGGCAAAAACTTGTAGTGATTCTGGTTTTAACTACCCTCGTTGCACCATCGCTTATTCAAAAAAATTGAGGTCGGTATTGAAGCTAAGGGCGACACTTCGAAACTTCTTTCACTATGATATGCTGCGGTTCATAAACAAAACTAACCCTTTTACTATTTTATAAAACAATTTTTCCATTGCTTGTGGGCAAAAAATAACGTTCGAGCATTCTCTATGACGCACGCAACTTTCTGCTACCTTACACAGGTTTTTGTGACCGCTGTCCGAACTGTGCAACTTGTGTTGAAAAATGTTACATAGGAACTGTTAATCGCGATTGCAGGAGTGGGTATCACTTTGCGCCCGTATTTACTTGTTTTGTATTTTACCTCATTCTAGTGACAATCCTGGCCAAAACTACGGAGGTACAACGCGAACTCCGTGCGAATGGAATCAACGTTCAACGGATTGACGAGATTGATCCTGTGTTCACTATATTACCTGCTTCGTCTCTCGCTGAGATTCATTCGAGGTTCATTCAAACTATTCTCTGAAACTTGGTTCTTAGTGTTTTATAGCGGTCCTCAAATATCAATTTTTCGATGAATATTGTTAACTAAATCATTGTACCAGTCATCTGATTCATTTCCAAGGAAAACGGCATAAAATGTTGTGAGGCCGAACTGGCTTCCCATTTGTTCGGTCCTGAAGCATTATACTACGTTCTCCCGTGAGTAGTGTCGTTTTTCTTCGAATGGAAATTTTCCTATTTAGAATTCACGCCTTCACATCTTGTAGATCATTTGAAAGAGATTCATTGGCTCTGGGAAGAGTTTCGCCTTCATATTCCTTGCACAGAATGTGGATTTCAAGCCCGAAATGGGGGGCGACAAATTTGGTCACCTCGACAACTAGCTCTAACTAGATTTCCCGCAGGAGAAAACGATAAATGACGTACCAAATCTATGCACGGCTTCCCTTGAACGTTCCGCTATCAGCCTTTCCAAGAAATTGCGAAATTTCTTCTTCAAATGGTGGTACTTGGTTTCCCGCCGGAACTCGATGTTTAAGCATTGTCGCCTAAAATCTAGATCCAAAAATCTCGACAGCCGAGGCGTTGAAGAGCTTGTGGGCTTTTAAAGGTCACGCTGGCTTCTACGTAGAATTTGCTACCCTCGCGTTATCAATCGAAAGGTGTGAGGTAGTAATTGTTGGACGAGTGTAAGCCCATGGAGGATATGATACGATGAGATAAAAAGGTGCGCCTGCTTGATAAGAGGTGCACTCCAGAATGAAAATGGTACGATGGCGATAACGGTTCCATATCTAGCACGCTCTTATCGCACCCCTTTCCACATCGATAAATCTTGGCTTTTGCTACCCGGAAGTGGATTTCGGCGCCTTATCACTCCGTTGATAAGGCGCCACTGCCACTGAAACTTCACGTGTTGTCACGTGTCCTAAGGCTTCGCTTCCTGAACTATGGTGCTCTCTCATCACGCATCGAGAAGTGAAATCTTGCGCGGAGGAGCGATGGTCCGATCCCGTGTAGAACTTTGGAACAACCACGACGTCGGTCAGGCAAAACCTTCGATTGGAGATGATGTGGTCTATCTCGTTATGGAACTGTCCATCAAGTGACTCCCAAGTCCAACGAAGGTGAGGGGACTTTTGAACCGGGAGTTACCATCGATGATGTTGGTCGACATGATAAACTCCGACAGTCTCACCCTGCTCATTCCATTCCATTCCGTGAGTACCGATGTGAAGTACTTCAGCTGTTCTTCTTGGGCCAATCTTAGCATTGAAGTCGCCGAAGATGACGTTGAAGAAGGTATGACTTTCCCTGTAGAACTTCTCCAATTCCATATAGAATGCTTCGTGTTCTTCTTCGTCGTAGCTGTAGGCTGGTGCGTAGGCGGCGAAGATTGTCAAAGCAGGAGTTGAACCACATCTTCTCAATCTCAAACGTCCGATTCAGGTCGTAAGGCTTCGTACGAATTGATGTTTATAGCAAGTGCGTGTTACGAGGACACCCACACCGCCAACGCCTCTGCTGTCGCATGTTCCAAGGAACAGTTCTTCCCTAGTATCAAAAACGGCGTGTAGCAAGCGGTGCCTCCTCGTCTCGGTGCCGCGTCAGTCCGATGACGTCGTACCTTGATCTTCCTGGCCTGCATCATCAGATCTTCGATGTGAGCTTCGGATGCAAGCGTTCGTCGCTTGAAAGTACAGATCGCCATCTTAGTCCTTCTTCGTTTAGGCAGCCTATCCGGGCCCTGAGAATTCTAGCAGCTCTCCCGAGCGGTCCTACCCAACGCTGCCGTATTGGGGGCTCCCCAAGGTCAGGGAATGAGGCCCATCCATATTGCTGTTTTCGGCATATTGAAGGCGCGCACGAGTAGCTTGCCAGGCTCTGTCGTGCGGCGTAGGATAGACCTCCAGGGAGTTAGCCACGCTATCCTGGAGCGGAACAAGGGGCTTATTTCTTGGAGGCGGCCCCGAATCGCTCCCATGTACTTCCAGTCACTTGAATGCAAGCTTTTGCTGTGCGACATGCAGGGATACCAACCGCACAACACACAGAGCGCACCACACGCCAGCATGCATGGATACGCCTAGTGGAGACAGCTGGTATGAATCAACACAGCACTGCAGAAACAGAGAGTCCATCCCCTGAATCGTATAGGACACCAGACCAGTATGTACAAGTTTACACCGAATTTCGTGAAAACGGCCGCCGTGACAAGGTGGCGCCGAATGGCACCAAATGGCGCTAGCATTAAAAACTAATGCCATATTCGTAATCAGGGCATCGAATTACCCCTCTAGGTAAAGATTGTGATGCACTATGCAAAATATGAAATTTTTTTCAAGTCCCAAGCATTGCATTCAATTTAATTTAGAATTGGGCAATCGAAGAAATTGCGCTTAAGCGGACGCCCGTTAGATCGAGATGTCGGCCTGTTGAGTACAAGTCGTTTATACCAAATTGGGCAGAAGTTTGTAATTTTCACACCCCAGGTAAACTCTGCTTCATTATACACAATTCTCCTTCGAACACTTATCTCAATACTTGCAGTTCATGGACAGCCGTCGATCTCACTTGATGTATGATATCCGTATATTAATGGATGAATGGAGTTCGGAGCTGCAATACATATATGCGTCGTGGAATTCGGTTAGCATCAGTGGAAGGCCATTAGTTGTTCTGGTTGTCAACAGCGACATGCTGACTACGGTATAATCATTCTTCCATTGAAATTCGGTCCTTCTTCTTTTTCTTACTATTTCTTTTGCGGTCGATACTTGTAGCTTTCGTTGTGGTGTTGTTGTTTCAAATTTGTTCTTTGTTGTGATGCCGAGTGTTGTTGGAATAGGAATTGAGAGCTTGCTCTATTTGCGCGTGTTTTTGGGCTTTTTGAGACAGGTCCGTAAGCAACATGGTTATGCGAACCATTCATTTATGTTGCTCTGCTCCAAGATCTCGTGTTGATCGGAATAAGTGTGCTTCAGTATTTAAAGACTTCCAGTTTTTTTTTCAGGTGCATTATAATGCTTACTGTTTATAAAGTAATACGTATAGCAACAAAGTATAATAATAATAAATACGATCACCTGTGTCACCTGTCGTCCCGTTGATTGTCGATTTGCTCGAGCGGGCGCCAGCAACGTCTCCATTCGTCCCTGTCGCGTGCTAGAATGTTCCAGTAAATCCTCGCTGGAGGGACACGAAACCGTTCATTCCTTTCGTTCAGAGCTCCCATGGAGAAGCCCGACCCTCGGGCCGGGGGTCGTCCAGGTGTTCGTTTGAACTGCGGGGGATCCAGTCGCAAACCGCTCTGGTCCAACGGTCATCGCAAAATTGCATGACGTGTCCGGCCCACCTTATCTTCGATTCCTTGGCGAAAACGGCAGATCGATCTTCATCGTTGGCGTAGTTCCAAACTCCGTATTCCCCTCTGCACTTGCGTGTATAGAGTTACTCCAAGCATGTCCTCTCGACAGTGCGTTGGATAACGCTGAACGCACGCTCGTCCCGCCTGAGCAGAGTCCAAGTCTCTGAGGCGTAGGTCAGGGCAGGAGGGACTGCGGAGTCGAAGAGGTGGGCATGGAGCAGCAGTTCTTCGTTCTGCACTATCCCTCGATGTTCTTAAATGCTCCCCATGCCGCTCGTTTCCTCCTGCTCAGCTCTGGAGCTAGGTCGTTCATCACATTGATTTCCCGACCTAGGTACACGTAGCTGGAGCATTCGGTTATGTTGTTGAGCGTGAATGGGGCATCAGGAACCAATCCGTTTCTCATAAACGTCGTCTTCGTTAGGTTCAGCTGCCACACCTACCAACCTTGCCACAGGCGCCGTCGAAATCAGCCAGCATTCGCTCCGCTTGCTCGATCGGCGTTATAAGAACGATGTCGTCAGCAAAACGGTGGTGTAGTTGCGGCCGTCGACCTTCACCCCCATGTCTTCCCATTCCAGATGACGCATGACGTCCTCGAAAGCGGCGCTGAAGAGTTTGGGCGAGATGGTGTCGCCCTGTCGAACCCCTCTCTTGACGTCGATGATGACCTCCTTGTAGAATGGTGAGATCTGGTTGTAAAGTTGCTGTAGAGCTCATGAAGGATTATGTACCGAGTAGGAACGCCCTGCTTGCCCAAGGCTTCGATGACCGCTTCTGTCTCCTCAGAGTCGAAGGCCTTCTTCAAGTCAATGAACGTGAGAGAGAGCGGATCTTGTACTCTCGTGAAACTTCAATGAGCCTCGTATCCGTGTGGATATAGTCGACCATGCTGAACCCTCTTCGAAACCCTGCTTGCTCGCATGGCTGTCCTTCATACAGTATTCTGCCGATCCTGTTAAGGAAGACTCGACTGAATAGCTTGTAGATCACAGACAGCAGGCAGATTTGGCGATAGTTGCCAATGTCGTCCGAGAGCCCCTTCTTGTACAGCAACACGGTCCTGCTGGTTTTTCACGGAGTGGGTACTTTGCATTCCGACGGCGTGAACAGTCGAACCAGAGTTGTGATGATAACTGGCGAGCGTTCTTCAGATGTTCCGGTTTAACCCTGTCGAGACCGGATGCTGTACAATTATTCACCGACTTGACAGTATGTCGGACTTTGCAAGAGAGAACTGACGAGGGAGGTCTTTCAGGTGGACCCACGCTTTTTCAAAACGGTTTTTTGTATTGATATAGGGGGATGTGTATGAAGTACAGAACTGTGATCCATTTCCGCTGAATGGCCCTCTGAATGCCAAAAAAGGAGTGAAAGTAATTTCGCCGGATACTGCAATTTTTACACACTCACCGTGGTGTGTTTCATTCATGGCGTGTACTGCTTGCATAGTGAAGGGTTCTCGCATGCTGTGTATCGAAAACAACGTGAAGTCTGGCCGAAATTGGAAAGTTGTCGTACTGAAGTGTCATGCCATGTACTAAAGAGCTTGTGGAGAAGTTTCATTAGTGCATTCAACTACTCACATATCAGTAACGTCGGTAGTGCAGCGGTTAGCGATGCGGATTTCGAATAGCACGCTTGGTCGGGGTTGTTGGTTCGAATCCTCGAGGCGGCGAAGCTTTTGCATTTTCTGTTGGCACTTCCAGAACGGCACCAAATTCCCCTAATGTCAAAATAGATGTCTTATTCTAGGTCAGAGCTATTAATAACGACAACGAGGTAAGTTTTCGAAATCAGCAAAAAAAGTTGTAACGTCCAAATGGCGCCAGAGAGCGGCGGCTCCGAAAAACAATGCCATATTCGTGACCACAGCATTGAATTGCCTTTATACCCGATGTTTTGAGTAAAATCGCATCTCTGACGGAAATTCGAGAATCTGCACCAAACACAAGTAATTCTTCACATATTCCCATGCGCTTGAAGGCAAGCTTCACGCGGAAAAACTAGCAGAAACTTATGCATTTTGTGTGGCCCCGCAACCCCCCCCCCTCGACCATGCTACCAGCTTGCATGTCTGCTATTGTCTCTTCGGTAGAAACATTTCATTTCTTGAGGGATTTAGAAGAGGTTATTTCCAAGAGGTTCGTCGTCGAGCTTGACGTGTTACACATATGTACGAGTGCTCATGGAGCAATTTTTCGAAGTTGGGTCAAATTCTTGATTCTCTTGGAAACTTTGACTACAAGGGTTATCAAGTGTCCTGATGATGAATATGACATTCGTTTTTGGTTCCGACATCGTTTCGGACCCCTATGACGCTGTTCGACGGCACGTTGGTGCCGTTTCTACGTCACAACTTTCTTTCACTAGTTTTTGGTTTACGCCAACTTATAAGGGCTTTTTTGTTAGCCTAATCATGAATGTGACATCGATTTCTGGTGTTTACGTCATTTGATACCAAATTTTTGGCGTCAGATCACAATGCAAAAATTTTGTCACCGCTGGGAATTAAACCAAGGACCGTTTCCCCCTCCTTTTTTTGGCATTCAGAGGGCCACTCAGCGGAAACGGACTACAGTTCTGTACTCCATGCACATCCCCCTACATAATGCGAGAAACCGTTTTGAGAGAGCGCGGGTCCACCTGAAAGACCTCCCCTTGTGAGAGGACGACGTATCCATCCTCTTGCGGATAATAAGTAGGCAGATGGACATGGCTATCGAAGAGATCCGACTTCCATTGTTCTTCGGGATGCAGTAACTGTTCCATCCGGACGTCGGCGGCAGGTCATCTTGGTCATGTAGCAAAGCTTCGGCGGGCATTGCGGATGCTCCTCCCAGGCTCTGCTGCTTGAGCTAATACTGCTGCTCTTCGCTGCTTGAATCTTCCTTTATCGCCTTTCATAGCTTCGCAAGCTCGGAGTCGGTGATTGCCTGCAGCTCGTGCGGCTCCACGCTGGCGTATCAATTCGAGAATTTCAGGAGACAGACGTCCCTTGGTGCAGGGATAACCGAGTGGTTAAGAAGAAGAAGAAGAAGA